CAGTGCCTCTCACCGGGAGGTCCTAGGTTCGAGTTCGGGCGCACGATTCCGTGGCACGATTTTCGCCACTACCTGTCAGCTAGGTCGAATTCAGTCGCTGTCTGGAGAAGAATTCTAGCTGCCGGCTGCTCTGGCCGGTAGTTTTCCGTGGTTTCTCCGATCAACAGGCGAATGCCGGAGCAGTACCCTAACAAACGGGCCACGGACTGCGCGCTATCTTTCCTTCATCATCCTTGTCATGTCCTCACCCCTTGTTCACATTAACTTACATCAACATGAGCCACACTACACCACATGCCGGGAGACAGGTCGAGAGCTTGTCCTGGCTGGGGCGGGTTCCCGCTGGTGGGAGATGCCTGAGTAGGGAAACCTCGTTAGCCGACGGTAAGCCGGCGCCCGATCTCACGATCCGGCGGGGGAAGACCACCGCAAACTCGTGAGGAAAACACATGCGCTACAATTATGGGATTGATTACCCGTTGACGCACCCGGAATCAAAAACCCATCCGCTGACTGACTCCTGTTTGCATACAGGCGAACGTTTATATAATTAGATCAACTGAATAAAATAAAGGCTAATGACGTCTAATATCAGCACGCAGAAAAATTAGACGTCTCCCATTATTTCAGTTTTCTTGGGTAGAGCCAAACGGATGTGAATACTGGCATGCACAGCCTGAAATAAGAAGAGGGGTCAACATATTTTCGGTATCCCCTTACTCATTTATTATTTTTATTATTACTTATAGCATTTTACATGCACAACATTTGTCAGTATGTTTGCGAATTTTTAAAATGTACTTTTTGTTGGTTGTAGAAGGAATCTTCTCTGGTTTTCCCACACTGGTTTTCGGGGTAGTTTCTTCAACAATTATTAACTTTGATAACTATGTAAAATGCCAAAATGTTTCAAATGGTATAACAATAAGCAATCATACCAAAGATACATACGGTAACAATACTTCGGTAAACTAATGTTCCCATGTATTTGTATATTTTAAAGTGTATCTAAATTCCCTATTCATTTTTATCAGGGATTTAATATGTTTACGGAAATAACATGTTTTATTTCCGCCCCTTTCAAAATGTTCAGGGGCCCACAACCCCCTTTGCGCACGCCTATAGATGCGAACATAATGAAAACTATTTTAACGGTAAGTTATAAGACACTATAGTCATAAAACCTCGTAAACGTGATAATTGGTAGATTGTTAATGATTCCGGGCGCGTGTCTAAGGTCATTGTTCCCGTAAGTATGGTGCATGTTTTGTTCTCTGGCAGTGATATTCCTCCGCTGGATAGCGATATCCGGCGCCGACCTACCGTCGGCTAGTGAGGTTTTCCCTAACCAGGTATTTCCCACCAGCATGGGACAGCCCCAGCCGATAAAGCTCTAAGCTCCCGACCGGTCTCTCGGCATGTATGGTAGTGATGATATCCATGACGCTGTAACAAGTCTCCTTGTAACAGTATCATGGATCTGTTATACTCCGTTTCTTTTTTCGGTGTGCAAGGAAGGTGTGAGGATACAAGGAAGAGGAAGGAAAGATCGCGAGAGGTCCGTGGTCATTACGTTAGGGTACTACTCCGGATTTGCCTGGTCTTGATCAGAGAAACCATGGAAAACTAACGATCAGAGCCGCTGGCAACTAGAATTCTCCAGACAGCGACTGAATTCGACCAAGCTGAGAAACTAGTGTCGAAAACCGTATATGTGATAATGCTGGGTAGAAAATTACCTCCTTGGGTGCATCAAATACATTTTTAAAACAAAAAGGGAAGAGTTTTGTAGTTTATGTTACGAAGTAGGTCTAATCGGAAAGTGTGCATGCAGTCATTAACACAAGTTAAGAAGCAACACCTTTACAATCATGCTTAGTTCGAAGGCTGTTCATTCTAGGCCCTTAGGGGCCGTCTATATATTACGTAATTACGTAAATTTGGATTATTTTGAATACCCCCTCTCCCCCTGTAACACTCACTTGAACCACTCCTTAATTATTATCTTATTAATAATAGTAAATATTTAATTAATAATTATTATACTATTATTTATTATATTACTTTATTATTATTATTCATTATTATTTAAATTATTTATTATTATTATTATTAATTATTATTATTATTATATTTATGAGCTCGGCATATGATAATACAATTCATTGTATGTCAACCATGATGGGTTCTTGGGTGGAGAGAGCGAAGTTACATTACTGTTCAGGAGCAAAACAAGGGGCCATCTCAGCATTTGCTGAAGGGACCAGGGGAACTGAACAAAACGAGATCGAATGGGGTCATTGGCATAAGCAATACAGTACAATATTAGCTACAGATAGATTAGGATAATGTTAGACAATTTTTAGTAGCAGATAATTTAACATTTCAAGATGTAATTGGCATTTTACTGCTACTACTTAATAATAATATTAATACAATACATGATATCAACTACATAACATTGAACAATATTAGCACACGCCATTGATGTAACGCTTGTGATTGCACCCCCCTTTACATTATGTAAAATATATTATATATTAACAGTAAAAACAGTAAGTATTAATTTTATTTAAGATGTATATTAAAATGTACCCTAATTAAAGTTAGAACTAATTGCTGATGATGACCACCCTTAACAATAAGACAGTAGACATTTTTTTAATAAAGGAAGGATGCATAGGTGAGACAATTTCTGACAAGCCATGCACCTGCCACTGTGGATGTTGCGTGAGTGAGAGACTATTGTGCCTATTTAATTCAATTCTAGAATAGTGAAAAATGTTTCCCTTTTCTTTCTCCTTGCTATATCTCTTAATTTCTATTAATATTACAGCTAGCTCAGGTATTTTTATTTTATGACTAATTAAAATACTAATGAACCTGTAATCACAATACTCAAATACCTCGGGGCTGTATTTTTTTAATATGCTTAAGGGTGGGCCTGGAAGTCCATCGTACATTACGAGTTCTTGGCTGATAAAATATTAACTTAATTTATAATCAATTAAGACATGTTATTACCAAAACCAATAACATCACAATTCATGCTAATTACTGTAGCGCAACAACACATTGCGTCATTTATTTTCATACAATCTCTTTCTCTTAGCAGGGTTTCATTCAACCTATATTTCAGGATGACCTGTAATCACACTTACAATTATTTACCATTATTATACAATAAAAAATCACATTTGCACTATATAACATACAACAAACATTCATATCTCTTGTGCTCAAATCTGTGCAATCTTTAACAGCTTTGAAAACCATTAAATGACTAACTAATTCTATTTTGTTTTAACTCCAGACTTGGCCTTGCACAAATTTAGACTGCCTTTTTCTCTGCATATTTTTCACTTCTTTTGAAGAATGTACAGCCCTCTTGTACGACGTATTTCCCTTCCTTCGGATGTACCAGGTATATTCCATCCATCTTCTTACCACACTCAAGTTTTTGGAATTCTAATTTGGACAATGTGAATATTTTAATTATACTTTCTAAGCACACGTTGTCTCCTCGTTGGTACTATTTTGAAATTTTATTTGCATTAAGAAACTTACTCATGTTATAAGTGAAACTTTGTAAAGAAAATTATTTATCGCTAGCTCATTACACATGATCGTGTCACATGGTGATCTCTTTCCATCTCCTTTCTGTTGCCTCTTGCAACAATACCTACATTCAATAGTATTCTGTGTTTTCAATGCAGTTCGAACAGTAAACTGTTCGATCTTTCAGACATCATCGTTCTTTGTAAACTTATCATGCTTTCCCATTCGCTATAATCCTTTGTTGATAATTTCATATACTATTTCATAGAAAAAAAAACTTATTGAATTAATACTTACTATCTCAATTACTTAACATTTAATTCATTTTGTTTGCATTTATCATTGAGATGACATGATTCATCTCAGTACACTTCAGATCTGTTTTGAATATTTTCTTCGTAGTCTAACAAATTTAATCAATATAGCATTGATGAAAAATATTTCATTTTATTGTATTATATATTATTTATTGTAAGAATTACATAATAATTTCTTTCAATAATTTATATTTTTTAAATTTAATTTGTTAAGAACTTAACAGTTTACTATGGGACTGAATTAAAGGCAAATGCTGAAATTTTAGTACATGTTGAAAATAAAAAAACAAATATCAATGTTATGTAACACTAACCTAACACCTCCCTACACCTATGTAATGCAGCATAAAGCTGAATATGTGTACAGCAGCACAACGCCTCCTCAAACACTGTTTAGTGTCACATAATATATGGACAACCAATTAAACCCAGTTTTCACATTCTCTATGAGCCCAAGTTATGTTTCAAAGACAATAATCCACAAAACAAGACCTTATGGTACTTTCTATTACGTTTATTGAAGCTCAGATTTTCTGGATATCTGTTGTAAGGGAAATCAGAAATGTCGAGAATGTTAAAATATGTGTAAAATTCAATTGACTTAATGATATTTAATGTAATTTAATTGAATGGATAAAATTTTTTTGTTTATTAAATAATGTTTAGCAATATCAGAATTTTATCCATGCTCAGTACTGGTTTTACAAGGTAACAAGTACTTACAGTTCAGAACCTAGCCTTTCAAAGTTAAGTATTAGGTATGAAACTATTTTAATTTTTAAAATAACATTTACATTTTGAAATGTTTGCACTAGTTGAAAAAGAAGTTCATTCCAGTCATTATTATTTTAAAATCGTGTATTGTTCTTGATTACTTTGATCTTCTCAATCAATAACAAAACAATTCAGTATTCTTCATTCAATGATGAACCTATTTTGTTGGTGATCACTATAATTTTCACCTAATAATTATCACCTTATCCTAATTCTATTCTATATAATTTTGACAATGGATCCTGATAACACACACACACGCACGCACGCTCTCTCTCACACACACACACTATCTCTCACACACACACACACTATTGAGGAAATATGTCAATTATCCAAAATAAACCACAAAAAAATCTTAAATATTTTATTGGTCATTACTCTCTTTTTCCCATTACATTTCAAACAAAATACATCAAAAGTATCCATGAAAGAATAATCCAGAAAACGTTATTCCACATTTTGGCAGACGAGCTTTGTGAATAACTATCCACAATATGAATTTTCCAACCCATGTTATTATGAGTGTAACTATTGTAGTATACCACATCTGGCCATGTTTTGTTAGGTATCACTTCCAATATTCCAGGATCACCTATAATAAATACGCAAATATAAAAGAAGCTCATAGAAACTTGTGTAATAATATTATGAAACTGAAAGATCAGTTATCCTAAGACCATTTTTCTTCTGGCAACATCAGACCTTGTCCGATTTCAATATTGAGAATTAAAAGGAATGTCCACCAAGTTTTTTCCCCATATTCACCATTTTCTTTCACAATCAAGAACAAAAATCAACAAATTTTTCTACAAATGAAAACTAAACTAATCATACTGAGAAAATGAAAAACTATGAGGATGAACAAATTAATTAATAATTAAAATATTGAAATCCTATAAATATTGTACAAATAAACCTGTATTACTCATCACACTCTACAAATTTTTCCCTTTTATCAAGCATCATTCTTCTGCATTTTAAAATAATGAAATACTTTGAAACTTAAATTTAATAAGAAGCATACTTAAAACCTGTGATATTACACAAACAAGATCATGACAGTACTTTGACTCCTTAAATTTGTTTGCAAAAGAGTTAAAACCATTCATTTACATGCATTTGAAACTGGAATACATTGTATTTCATTTATTAAACAATAAGCTTTACTCAATAACTTTAATTTTTGAATGGTTCAACGCTACATTCCAAAATTAATTGAGTAGAATTAAGTGTCAGAAGTGATTTAAATATTTTCTTTTCTCTTGAGACACTCCAAAAGGACTTCAGATGAACTGGTACTTTTATACTTCTAACTTTTATTGTTTGTATTTGCTATCACTGAAAAAATCAATTTTCTCTACATCTTACATCTTTAAAATCGATGTTTTTTTCAAACTATTGATTATGGAAAATTTTCTTTATATTTCTTTCTGAAAATGTGTCAAGTCAAATAGGTAGTAGCTAATTCATGCATTTGAAATTGTAGCTAGATTAACCTTACCTTCTTCACATGTAACCATAAGAGTTCGATTGAATTTCCTAAATGTTGAAAAATCATCATCTAATCTTCTATCTTTCCCATCATGTTTAGCGATGCACAAAGGACCAGCTAGAAGTAAAGAAAAAAGTATTTTAAAAAAGTTCTTTATAAAACCAGATGAATTGTAGGAACCAAAAGAATATTTTACTTGTGGTTGGTTTGGCTTGGCCTCTTCTATTAAATTCTACCCCAGCCAGAACACGAACTCTCTTTTGAGCTTCTTCACTTAAGCGATCAAATCCTCCATGTGGTTCATCAGTTAGTATAAATGGATGATAATGCTCTGCACTATGCGGATTATTGCCTCCATATATATAAAATGTGTAAATGAGTCCACGTTGTAACTTTAATTCTGGGGCCAGATACCCATTGATATACCACGATAAACCAGGAGATGTCATATCTAGAACATGTTAAAGAATTTTATTTGCATTATTTATTTTTCAGTGAATATTAAATGGAATTTTCAATCAACTTACTTGTTATTCCTTGATATCCTCTTTTCCCACCTGATGGCCCTATTGTTGCAGTGAAAGAGCGAATCTTACTGTCCGTAATGGAAGATTTAGCCCAGGGTTCCCTTTAAAAAATTTTGAATTTCAAAGAAATGTTACACAAAAAAATTAAATTTTTGGGAAAAATTAAAATACCTGAAACTTTCTTGAGCACGTGTGAACTTGAAACAATTACTTTCTTTTTCTTTACGGTTCAATTCCACTTTAATGTCACTTTTAGGATAAAAATCATGAAACATTGGTTCCTTATTGTGATTTAGGCGTCCAATGCCCCAAATTACATAAGAAATTCCATCTGTGGGATATTCTTTATCTCCATGATCAGCTTGAAAGAAAAAAAAATGACATTGTTTCACACATTAGAAATTTCAAGACCACCAGAAGTTTAAAACCAGAAGTACACCTACACAAACTTTTAATATTGTACTGAAATTATTACATTGTTATTTATTAAACTTGTTATTCAAGGGTTGTTTTGAATTTTTAACTTACATGAAATAAGTGTGCGGCGGTAAGTTATAATATTTATTCCATTTTCTCTACTAGCTGTGTGAAGTTGGTTGTTATCATCACCTCCCAATAATGAATCTCTACACACTCCTTTATACTGCCCCAGAACTTTAGCACACTGAAACAAAAAAAGTTGAGGATATTTCTGTCAAGGATAATGTCATTCTGTGTTGCAATTTTATTATGTTGTAATGTGATTGAATCAAATGTAATAAATCTATCATCATCAGATATTTCATTCACATTCCCTTAATCCATTAAGGAAATTCTGAAATGGTACCTTGCTTTGCTTTTGTACCCTAAATGTAGCTTTCAGTTTTCCAAATACCAAGTACAGTTGAATCCGATATTACAGTTTGTACTGATTAACTAAACAAATGTGAATATGAAATAAGATTAATATATACCTATCATGTATATAGAAAGACATTGAGAAATCAGGCAGTATTATGTTTCTTTAATTTGATAAAATGTTCTGTTAAATAATGAGAATGACTATTACAACTTTGTTTCAGCATTGTTAACTTTCATTTACCCTAATAAAATCTACCACTCTATTATATTATCTCACATTTTATAAGATTTTACTTATCAAAAAAAGGCAATTTTATTGTGAAAAGAATTTGTTTGCCTAATATCCCAAAAAATAAGTTATATACTACAAAAAAAATGAATGTACAGCAATGAATGTACACAGAGGTATGGACATTGAGAAGGGGGTACAAAGAGGATACAGTTCACACCTCTGCCTTATGAAATAGGAGACAGACTGTCAACATTAGCCAGTACTAATTTGCATTTATTTGGAAATGTAATGGTAAATAAGTGTCATATTCTGCACATCCTGAAAATAAATCTCATAGTCAATACCACCAAACATTATGATTACAATCCTTTTTTCAGGGCGTTCTTTGAGGCTGCATCCCCTTGGAAACAAACCTATCACTGCTCAGGTTCAGACTTATAAGCAGAATCACAAAATGAAGACAGAAGAATACTCACTGGAGCTTTGGCTGTTATGTTGTAATCGTGAGCATGTCCCAGAGAGCCACTTATGTATGCAATTGTGGCATCAGCACCTATCATTTGACTCTTTTCAGTGGATCCACTTAGTCCAAATGCCATGTAGTCATCTTCACCTAAGCACATCATTAAATTTGGCATTGCAATGATCGAATAAGATACATTTTGCAATTATTTAAATGATTATTTCCATACATACCAACTTGACCAGCAAGTTGAATTGTGATTTGAGGACCAAATATTTCCCAACCAACTTGAAGATCCTTATGCAACTGCAAGCAATTTGGGAGGGAATTCTCATACGGCTGAAAAATAAAAATGTTGCATGCTTATTAGTATGCAATTAGTAAATTAATATTATGAAAAATCTGTCTACACAAAGAGAAAATGAGTTCCTCCTTACAATGACTTTGACAAGAGAAGGTGGTACATTCAAGCCATCAGGAATAATAACTGATCCATAGTTTTCTTTACTATCAACATCAAATATGCTCAACCAATCAATGTCAAATATTGTCAGTTCACCAGGTAGTTGTAAGGTTATATGCTCCCCCTTGTAAGCTCTAATTGGATCCAAACTGAAATGAAATAAAAATATAATTTAGCTGCATAATAAATAGTACGAGGTAATTTTATAGACTAAGGTAACTCTCATATTATTACAGCACGAGAAATTATGGAACTAATCTCTTCATATTATTTTCAAAGATTTTTTAAAATATTACAGTTCTTGGAGATGTCACAAAAGAATAATTAGAAACAATGTTTAAAAACTTGATTTTTTACTATTTTTTCTTACTTTGCTCAACAAGAAAGTATTTGTGCTCCATTCATCCACATAATATATAATGAAACTATAATGTATGTACTTTGGATATGACTATAATATATTTTCAATTTTTTTAGGCTTTTCAGTGTCAGTAAAATCATTTCATTTACAATTTGGTTCACAATTTTCAATTTATGGCAACTGTTATATACTGCATGAAACACAGAATATTGGGGTCGTTCGTAAATTATGTAATGCTAAAGAGTCAGGGAAGGTGTTCCAGGCAGCATTATGTTGCATTGCAGAGGGTTAGGGGATCACAGTTTAGTGTTATGCTGATATTTATTTTTTAAATTTTTAAACATTTACTGAAATAATTCCTTTTATTAAGTTTTACACGAAAACATTAAAATTAAATTAATAATATCATAAAATTAAAATTTTATGATGTATAAACTGTTACAATAAATGGAAATATTTTTTTATCAATGGTATATTGAATGAATCTGTTAAATTACAAAGAAAATATTCATAAATAATCTACAGCATATTTCAGAATCCAATTATCTTGGTGCAGTATACTGTACAATTAAATTAGTGCAGCACCATCCCACAAGTGCATGGCTCGTCAGAAATTTTCTTGCTTACATAGCCTCCCTGCAGTAAAAACCTGTCCGTAATCTTATTATTAGATGTGGTCAGCATCACCAACAAATTATTTCATTATCATAAATTTTAATATATAACACAAATAAAATTCATACAACTCATTGTTTCTGCTTCATAATTTATTTTTAATTATTGTAAGTCAGGGTGCCTTGCTACAAGTGTCACATAATTATTTAGGGAGGGTTCTAGCATGTCACAGGTGTGTTACATGGGAGAAAGGAGGTACACAAAATAATCCAAATTTGCTTTATCTAATTTATGGTCAGCCCCAATATCAAATTTACACACTCACAAATGAAATCAGGTGTGTTGTTTCAACTTTCCTACTGACTATTTTGTGTTAGAAAAGGAAAATTGATATAATTGGCAATGCTTGTTTGAGATTTAAGAAATGTTTAAATTTTCAAAGACAAGAAAATACCTTTTCAATATCATCACTTTTGTTGTACTTTTTTTGTGTTGGTACCTTGACATGGACAGAATTATTTATAACATTGTATTCAAGAATAATAGAACTCAAGAGAGGAGAATAACATGTGGAATACTTACTATCCATATTCATCTGGAATTTTTGTTCCTTTTGAAGAAGGTTGAGGTCCTTGACCAACCCAAAAATATGTATCTGAAGGACAATTATAAGTTTTTAGTTATTAGTCATTGAAGAACAATCAATATGTATTTATACATTCC